CAGGATTGAATTGAATTGGGATTCTGGGAGTCAATCTAATTTGTTCGTGCGGTGTGTGCACACAGCACACAGCCATTCAGTGATGGTCTAAATGTAATTCATAGCCATACTGGAATGGTAAAAACACAGCTTCTTTGTTAGAAGTTTTTCCCCGCTTGGCTCCGGTTCATCTTTTAGTACCTAAAGTACCTATATAAATCTGTCTTAAACATTAAAAGTGAATTGTAACTGTACTTCATCCAGATACACTTGTTGGGTATTTAAAAAATGCTTATGATACTGTAGCATAATTCACACAACTGACCAGTGTGAATTTCCCTACCAACTTCAAATATGCAAAGCTTGAAATCTGCTCTAAAAGACATACATTTCATCATCCATTAATGGACATAAAACAAGATTGTTTACCAAAGACAGAAATATTTAGTGCTTAAAGAGCAATTTAACAGTATTTATACAATCGCAAAACTCTACAGCAATAATAGGGCTCAAACAAAACAAACAGCAGAAATCATCAAAATTCCCCATCATTCTTTTGATAAGGTCAAAGCTGAGGCACCACAGGGTTTAATCCTTGGCCCACTTCTGTTCTTTTCTGTTGAGAATATCACATAAATGTAAAAAATAATTGCATTGAACTAAACTTTGTCTTTATCCTTTCAGGAAGCAACTCACCATCGAGGTGTGGAGGGTGGAACTTCACCACAGTGTTATCCATTTTATCTGCCAATTGGAAATCTACAGAGGGGCCACAGCTTTCCCTCCCCCATGTTTACTGGTCCGAACACAGAGAAGCAGGTTTCACCAGAGCTCTCACCACATGGTCAGCTGGCCTGCCGTTGGATGAAGGTAAATGCAATTATTAATAACAAAACTTTATGCATTAAGAAGAGCTTTTATATGCTTATTAAAATTTCAGAACAATTGTGTGTGAACAAGGCATTTTATGACAGGCTTCATAAAGTTCACTTTACTGTGATCTCACACAAAAGAATGAATAGTCTCTTCTGTACATCCAGGCCACATCAGTTAATAACAGGCGCATTCAATATCAGAGGATTTGGTGAAGAACACTGCAACTATTACTCTGACCACAAGATGGTGCTGAGAACTCAATGTATTCATGGTTAACAGAAAAAGAGAGGATGAACATGTTACAATGTTAGGTTACAATATAGCATACAGGACTGACAATTATTCCCTACAATGGTTATGTAACACAGCAAACCTGGTGTAGCTTACAGTTTACAGGCAGGCAAACCGGGCAGGGAGCTGCAGAGACTAAACCAGAGTCCAGGCAGGGGTCAGAGGCGAAATAATCAGACCAAACCAAGACACAGCCCAAAGGATGAAGCAAATAGGCTGAGTCCAGTTAACAGGCCAAGTCCATACCTGAGATATACAATTAACAAGGAAACAGAGGGTGAGACAACAAGCTACAAAAAGCATGAAGCTATATGCAAACACAACAGACAATCTGGCAACGTAACAAAGAATATGAGCATTTAAAGAGAGGAAACTGATGAGTAAAGTAGCTACAGGTTTAGAGTAAATAATTCAGGACTGAGTGATGGGAGAGAGTTGTATATCAATGGAGCAGTAAAACTGGAGCTAATAAGGGTCAAATGGGACAGGATAAGCAAATCAAAATAAATGTTTCTAGGAAATAATGACAATGTCAGTATACCTGTGATAAGCTTCATAAAAACATGAAACCCTGTGATATTCACTAAGATTTGCTTAAAATATAAATTAAAATCATTGCATAAAAGTGTGAAGCAATAAAGCCTTGGCCTTTAAAAAGTGAAAAACCTGCATTTAAACAAAACTATACAATGTGTATAATATGTGGAATAAAGTCCTAAACATCTAAAAAAAATAAAAATATATGGTTGGGGAGTTATTTTGTATCATTGATTACCAGTCTCATCCACTGCATTCAGTCAGGAATCCTTCTCACTTCTCTATCCTGCAGTGCCACCTGCTGTTCGACTCACTGCAGGACTTGGTGGATCACATCAATGACTTCCATGTCAAGCCTGAAAAGGATTCTGGTTACTGCTGTCAGTGGGAGGGCTGTGCACGAAATGGCAGGGGCTTCAATGCCAGGTAGGTTTAGACTGTTATTAACGAATTGCTAGCCCATTCCAGTGAACATGACAGATGTGCGTGTTCATTTGCTCTTGTTTGCAGGTAGCAGTCTGAAACAAAACCAGAAAGTTTACTCAAACATAACAGAGCATGTTGCATGATGTGGAGACAGGTGCACTAAGCCAAGGGCAGACAGGGCTTTATGGGCTTGAGAGCACTGGCCAGGTGCTCCCGAACATCAGCTGGCCATCTCATGGCAAGACTGCTACATGCAAACAAGAGCACATGAATGTGCGCACACCAGATCAAGGTACCAGGGCCATGACAACTATTCTGAAGGAAATGTCCTTGCTGAAAGTGATGTAAAGCCATTCATGTGTATGTAAATGTTATATAAATAGTAGGGATGCACTGATTTATAGGCCATACGTTGGTATCAGCCAATTTTGGCTTTGTTGACTGCCATTGGCCTATCTACAAAAATGATGATCATTCACCAGTGGCAGTGGCAGATGTCTCGTCAAGTTTGACCTGGCTAAATGTGTTGGTTATTTGCAGTCTGATGCAGACAACAGTAGCCTAGCCAGCTGTACATTTAGGACCAACCCACTAGGTTGTACTACAGTAATAATACCACCCATAACAGCCTTCTGTTATGGTTGGCCCCCCTCACCAGGAGGGTGAGGGAGAACTGGGGTTGGACTCAAGATAGCGGACCCAGGTGCTAGTACAAAAAAGGTGGTTTATTGGAATAAATACAACAAAGTGACAACATAACAGGGTACATAATACTTACAACCAGGGATGGGCAGTAATGACTAAGGAGACCAGGACGAACAGGTAAACACACAAACTAACGGCAGGAAACAGGGTAAGTATTGTCCATAACATGTCGCAAAGATCCAGCGACAAATCAAAAATATGTAGTGTAGTGTAGTGTAAAGTAGTGTAGCGCATAGGTAGTGTGGTAGAGTCAAGCCAAAACGCACAGTGTCTGTCAGCATTGCATTCTAACTACATGTACAGTGGTGTGAAAAAGTGTTTGCCCCCTTACTGATTTCTTATCTTTTTGCATGTTTGTCACACTGTAATGTTTCAGATCGTCAAACAAATTTATATATTAGTCAAAGATAACACAAGTAAACACATCATGCAGTTTTTAAATGAAGGTTTTTATTATTAAGGGAAAACAAAATCCAAAACTATATAGCCCAGTGTGAACAAGTGTTTGCCCCCTAAACCTAAGAACTGGTTGGGCCACCCTTAGCAGCAACAACTGCAATCAAGCATTTTCGATAACTTGCCATGAGTCTTTTACAGCGCTGTGGAGGAATTTTGGCCCACTCATCTTGGCAGAATGGTTGTAAGTCAGCCACATTGGAGGGTTTTCGGGCATGAACCGCCTTTTTAAGGTCATGCCACAGCATCTCAATTGGATTCAGGTCATGACGTTGACTAGGCCACTCCAGTCTTCATTTTGTTTTTCTTCAGCCATTCAGAAGTGGACTTGCTGGTGTGCTTTGGATCACTGTCCTGCTGCAGAACCCAAGTTCGCTTCAGCTTGAGGGCACAAACGGATGGCCGGACATTCTCCTCCAGGATATTTTGGTACACAGCAGAATTCAGGGTTCCATTTATCACAGCAAGTCTTCCAGGGCCGGAAGCAGCAAAACAGCCCCAGACCATCACACTACCACCACCACATTTTACTGTTGGTATGATGTTCTTTTTCTGAAAGGCGGCGTTACTTTTACGCCACACATAATGGGACACACACCTTCCAAAAAGTTCAACTTTTGTCTCGTCTGTCCACAGAGTATTATCCCAAAAGTCTTGGGGATCATCAAGATGTTTTCTGGCAAAACTGAGACGAGCCTTTATGTTCTTTTTGCTCAGCAGTGGTTTTCGTCTTGGAACTCTGCCATGCAAACCATTTTTGCCCAGTCTCTTTCTTATGGTGGAGTCATGAACACTCACCTTAACTGAGGCAAGTGAGGCCTGCAGTTCTTTGGATGTTGTTGTGGGGTCTTTTGTGACCTCTTGGATGAGTTGTCGCTGCGCTCTTGGGGTAATTTTGGTCGGCCGGCCACTCCTGGGAAGGTTCTCCACTGTTCCATGTTTTCGCCATTTGTGGATAATGGCTCTCACTGTGGTTCGCTGCAGAAAATGCTTGATTGCAGTTGTTGCTGCTAAGGGTGGCCCAACCAGTTATTAGGTTTAGGGGGCAAACACTTTTTCACACAGGGCTATATAGTTTTGGATTTTGTTTTCCCTTAATAATAAAAACCTTCATTTAAAAACTGCATGATGTGTTTACTTGTGTTATCTTTGACTCATATATAAATTTGTTTGACGATCTGAAACATTACAGTGTGACAAACATGCAAAAAGATAAGAAATCAGTAAGGGGGCAAACACTTTTTCACACCACTGTATGTTACGCGGTACATAGTTAATGTTCCAGCAAAGACGAAGTGTCTGCCAGAGGTTTATATAAGGAGGCGAAGGTAATCATCAGGATGCACCCTAGCTGCGTGCATCGACAAACCAGTTGCTAATTACTGGAATGCAACACAGCTGAGGTGCACAGCCCACATGATAGAGAGAGCAGAGGAGAGAAGGACGGAGGAGAGGCAGCGGCCGCCGAGCGGCCCTAACACCTTCATGTATGTGTTGTTTGTTTTCAAATAAATGTGAAAGAAAAAACCTTTCTTTGTTGTGGAGGATGTGGGGTTTTGAAGTCTGATGTAGTATACGGAGCACCACTACACACACTGCCCAGTCGCCATCATTTTACTTACATCTGTCTCCATGAACTCTACAACACAGCGTAAACACACATTCATGACCTACTGGCCTTTGACATCTCTGCCATCAGCTTTACAGGTGATATATGGGGTTCAGGTGTTAGCCCTGTGAGTATGCTGAGCCTCGCAGCACAGAATTTAACATGATAATAGCAGCCCAGTAGGTCATCCACACCTGCTATCTCATTAGCATTTGAGAAAAAGTTTGAAACATAGAAAATTGACAAATCCACTGTGCATGAGGTCCTTACAGATAACGGCAGACATATGGCAAAGGCTATGACAGATATCAGCCTGACTAGTTTTGGTTGCATGCCACACACTCTGTGGCTAGTGGTCAACAGTGTATGTACTGAAAAATTGTTCTCATTTAGGGGGTAGTTGTATAGCAAGCTAAAAAGGCTTTTGAAAGTTATTTTTCAGAAAAATAATGTGCCATGTGAAAGGACGTTATAATGTATTAAAGGTTTCACTGATTGTGAAATTCTGTAACTAATTTGCATAAATGTTGTGATTCATTTGCATAATGTATTCAAAATGAATAAACAATGTTTGCGTAACAAAAATAATAATCAGTGACTGAAAGAAAGGATGTGCTGCAAAATGTGCTAACAGGAACAAGTTGAAACAAAAGTCTAAACTATATGTTCAACTTAATTCACTGCATGCAACATGCAAACTAGCAATTCCATTGTCTAATAAAATTTGGACTCCTACAGTAGGCAGAACAAAATGTGCTAACAAGAAGCAGTTTAAACCAGTCTAACCTGTATGTTGTGTAATTTTGTTCACGCCATGCAATTTTAATGAGCAATGTGCAAGTTATGTAATCCCATTGTCTAAAAAAATTTGGACTCCTATAGTCCTATAGTAGGCACAACAGAGGCATCTGTGTAATGAGATCAGAATGCTGTAAAGACTGGGCATTGATCCAAGCAGCTTGTTAGACTGGAACATGGTCTTACAGGTAAAGTTCTATCAGCCTTGTGTGGTAACACAACTTGTTTTAATTCAAAAATCAGCAGACGCACTCTTACCCTTTGATAAATAGGTTCAAAAGCAGCCTATTGTTAAGTGAGAGTTTGTGTGCACATTTCATAAACAGAATTTATTTGATCTTTTATGTGTTACAGGTATAAAATGCTGATTCACATCCGCACACACACCAATGAGAAGCCACACCATTGTCCCACCTGTAACAAGAGCTTCTCACGTCTGGAAAACCTGAAGATACACACCCGCTCACACACAGGTGAGTGAGGCTTGTGGTGATATTGTGCACAGCAGACATTACAACAGTTTATATCTTATGTCCAAACTGTAGGATGTGTAGGATACGATATGTTTAGCTGGAACCTGGGAGGCCAGAAAATAAAGTTAAAAAAAAAAAAAAACTTTCTTCTGCAGCTACTGTCCATGATCACTCTCTCCAGCATTTTCTGCTAGAAATGGGTTCATTTGTGTTCTGTTAACGTTTTAATCTCCCAGAGTATCAGTGAGATTCAAAACATTTAATATAATATTTACAACTTTCATCACAGAAACAACGTACATGAAACTTATAAATCAAAGTCTAGGACAGATGGTTTTAGCACTAACCAAGTATAAGTTTATTTCTCAACTTGTAATTGGTTTTGCTTGCTTAGTGTGTATTTATGTGTAATTTCTTGGTGTTTGTAGGACTGTGTTATGAACCACAATGTTCATAGCTGCAAATCAAATTTACTATCACATGTTATATAAAAATTGTGGTCCTGTGAGAGATGAAAAAAGACAAGTCAAAATGGTAGCATCTGAGGCTGAGATGTCCTGACTTCAGCCCCACGTATTGGTCAGGCTCTAAACTCACTGGATGCTATATGCTTTCCCATAATGCAACACTAAGTGGTTTGTCATCAGACAGATAAATATCTTTCAGCCTGTAAGCTCCACTCCAACAAATCCAGCCTACTGTAACTCTGATGACATCACTGTGGCATCATCAGAGTCTTCGTGAACAGTAAAGTGATTGTAATGGGTGAAGTCGGTTTGACTGTCCCTTTAGATGTCACCTGTCATCATTATACCAGTGCGCAAATGATTTAGTGGTCACTTTTCATTTGCTGACAGGGAGTTTTGTTTGATTAACAAGTCACACAGTGTCACTGTGGTGTGAACCTGGAGGGAGAAAAATCCAGCTCTTTTGCAGAGAATGCAGAAATTGTGTTTTGCTGCCAAGGAAACTTGAGTGTTCCCTATCTTCACTGCTGCTTGAGGGTTTTATAGCAACATATCCTGTTCTGCTTACTGTCAGTCATCTGACGCCTGCATGGACAGATGCAGACAATCCCTCGAAAATGTGACTTCTTGCCCATTCTGTTTCAGTATGTATTTACTAACTGCAGTAGGTCAGCAGTAAGGCTGGACCTGAATATCTGAGTATTCAAATATTCGTTCATTGGGCAGGTAATTGGTTTTCAATTTTAGTATTGGAATAAAGGTATTTTTGTCCTCCCCACCTACATACCTGAATATAATGTAGTCCAGTATAACACCACCTTTAACTATGACTTCGATAATAAACATATTTAATTTATATATTTATGACAATTCCACCAAAAACTGAAACATTTTGAGCTTCATAAACACGGATGTTAAGGTGGAAACGTTGTATTAAATTACATATAACTGTACAGGTGTACCAAATAAAGTGGCCAGTGAGTGTACATTGCAACATGAACAGGATCTATGAGGTCCTGATGATAAAGTGAGTCATTCCATACACATGAATGACTTTCCACACAGTGTGTGTACACAGTGGGGTAACTTCAACAGAATACAGCATTGCACAACTATGCATTATAGAAGGTCAGTGACGTGTTCAAGTAAAATGACTTTATCTTTATTGTTCATTTTCTCAGTTGGAGCTGGTTTTGAAATCTTTATTCTGGTGGGGGTTTTTTCAGGGTTACAGGTAATGTCATGTCACACAAGGATGTTGATTCATTTATGTTCTTGTAAACTTGAAGATGTCTTTGTTTTGCAACTGTTGTTGGTTTCTCCAGCCTCTCCCTCTATCAGATATGGCCTCATTGCACGTCAGGGAAAGACCAGGAGGGTGAGGGAGATCTAGCGGTAGGACTCCAGATAGCCAACCCAGGGCTAGTACATAAAAAAAAAAAGTAATGTAAGACAACACAACAACGTAACAGGAGCAACCATGATCCTAAAGCATTCGATCCACAAAAAGCAGATTAAAGAAATGTCAACACAGAGAGTAGAACATCTTGCTTTCTGCCATTTCTCTCCAAATATTATCTTCGGTTAAAGGGTTAGCATGTGGTCTGTGTTACTCACAGCTGATCCTCTCTCAGCACACAGCGGGAACTGATAGCCCCGCTCTATAAACTATGCACATGACAACATCGCCTCAATGTTTATAATCCGTAGCTCTCTGTAACCTATTAGCCACTCAAACTTTTGCATTACTCTGGAAACTTTTCCTAGGCTGTTTCCATGAAGATGGGCAGAGAAATACATTCAGATGGTCAATTATAAGCAGAAAAAGAAAAAAGCAAGTTTAAGTAGAGTCTGTCATTGAAGGATCTAAGCAAATCTGTTTTCACTTGCTCAGATCCAAGGATGACCAAATCCTTGAAACTCAAGCACTGTGATCTTTCTCAGTTCAAATGAGGAAAACAATCCAGCTGTGGTTAGCTGCGCTCATGGAGGCAAAGTGTCTGTTATAGCTTTCAGTATGGTTTGAAAAGTTGAAGAGGAATGATTGCGACAGTGGGGAACTGTATAACATTACCCACCATCTCTGGAGAGGGAGCTACAAAGCGGGATACAAGCAGAGCTGTAGGAGGACTCCTGTGAGTAAAAATGCTGGCCAGGACACCGACGTCTGGGAGAATATACAGCAGTTCTGTAATCTCTATTCCTGACGGCACCCCACATAATTATAGCCCAGAGTAAATGCTTTATGAAGGCCATTTCTGGATAAATTATGACCCTGTTTTGGATTCCCTTCTCCCTCCTGGTCCCATCCCCTCACCACAGCTGTATAAGTGGTGGAAATGGGGAGTTTTTTTCATTAAACGACCAGAAGGAAGAGTTTTGAATATTTCCTCCAGGGAAAGAACATTCAAAGTATTCCTCAGCTTTGTTGTTTTAGCAGGATAAAAAAAACAACAACAAAAAAAAAAAACAGGCTTCAATCCTTTAAACGCTGCTGTGCCTGAATAAAAGATATAAAACCAAAGAAAGAGGAAGGCAAAAGAAGGAGAAAGTAAAAGATTTCTGCAATTTGTGATCAACATCTATAGGGAATCATTAGGGCTGCCCCCAAACAGTCGAGACCATCCGATACATGGATGTACATTAAGATTGGATCTATTTAGCAAATTGCAGAATGAGGAGAAAAGGACAACAAAACCCACTTGGACAAGGCACAAATGTGTTTTCAAACATCATGGTCTACTTGTATAAGAGAAAAGATTGTTGTGATGCTGTGGCTGGTTGTGCACGGCCTAATGTTAGTATGTGCGTCCGGTTTGTTTATCCATCTCCACTAAAGTCCCACACACAGCTGTTTACCGACTGTTTCTGTGACATGCATCCATCCAAACAGCACTAAGAAGCTAACAAAAATGCACAGGGAAAACATTTGAATGAGGAGCCACACCAGTTATTCATAAGAAAATAAGTTGGTGTGTTACATAGCACAAAGACGTACGGTATTTGGTGTATAAGGCAAGCCGTAGAATTTCTGCTGCATGTCCTTCAGGATTTCTGTGGTGGAGCGGTCCTGAGGTTTTCCGTGGTAGATCTGGTCCAACACTGCGTAGAAAATCTGCCAGGGGAAAAAAATAAAAAAAAACAACAGGCCTGACTAAATCAGTCCTCCACTTCAGTACAGGTTTATCAAAAGAAAGAAATTAGACAAGCAGCAAATCTCACAGATAAACCAGAAGCACAAAACCAGAAACCTTCAACAAGGAATAAAAGGTAATATGGTTGTAATAACTTAAATGACAAAACTCAACAGCAGTGGTATCATAAACAAGAAGTCAAAAAAATGCTGTTGAATGTTTACAATAGGCACAGTTTCTTCATCCTCAGGCTTTTCTACTTGTTCACCATCTCAGCATCACATCAGCTTCCTGCCTTGCCTTCAAGAAACACTGCTGAAGCTGAAGGTAGAGGATGGATCTGGTTATTAGTTACTAGACATCTCTATTATCGTATTTACTCCCTCCTTCTATTTGCACGGCATATTCACAGCTACGATGGATGGAAGTCATGTATAGATTAGGAAATAATTGTGAGGTCACTGTTTGAGGCTGTAACTGTACCTGCAGCTGGGTGTCCGCAGCCCCACACACCTTCTTTGACTCGCACAGGCGAGCCACCATGCTCTCAGGCAAAGGCTGAGGAGGCAATGACACAGACATCGTTTTTGCCTCATCTATGCATCCAAATCTAACTTTTTAAAGGTTTTAATGCTGCAAAGTTTTTTTTTTGTCTTGCATCATACAAAATGAACCAAAGGCTTAGCTGATTTAACACCATAAGCAAACATTAATAGAATTAATATCCAAGTATTTTAGTACAAATCTGTCTTTATACTGGGCTTTACTCTGAGGGTTTAGGTGTACCTGTCCAGTTTCATAATGGCGTGCAAACTGGCTGATGACTCGATAGTCAGTGGCAAAGTACTCCATGAGAATAGAAGGGACTTCTGCAAAGTCAGTCGCACATCTGGTTCCTAGAGGGCAGATGTGAGATCTTAAAACAAAGGGAGGTACGGCCCAATTCATTCTTCCCATGTGGGTCAGTGCAGATGCAGACATACAGCATCTCCTACTATGTACCCAGACATTGAAACTAGGGGCACCTCTAATGAGCACAGCACAATAATAAAAGATTCAGAGATTTTTACAATGAGAAAAATCAGGATCAGGTCATTATATCCCCAGAAAAAAACAAAAAAGCTTAACCAAACAACAATTAGCTGTTGACCTAACACGACTCCAGGCTGAAAATACTGTACATCCTTCACATGTAATATCAAGCAGAACACTTGCTATTAAAAGATATTCAGAGGGAGAAAATACAGCTTTAAGTTATTGGCAAAGAAAGTGTCCTGAGCTTTCAACCACAATTTCAAGTATCATACCTGAACAGGTGTTAACATGGTGTCCATTAAAGAAACAGCCTCCAGCTAAGTTAATGGATTATTATTAGGTTTTAAAAAAATTTGGGACCTCAAATTACAGGTGAATGCATCCATCAACTTTATTTGACATACTGTACGCAACAGTATCATATGACAGCTTTGGTAGTCAAGTGGAATCTAACCCTCACCTCCGGGCTTAGGCATAAGCGGATTTACTTCAACTTTCAATTCACCACACAGGAAGGAATAACCCATTGGTTTGTATCTCACTACATAATTCTAGCCTGTGACATTTGGGAACTGCCAGTCTGTTGTTTTCAGATGAAGAGCTCATAAAATGTCAAACGTAGAGCACCTCCCATAGTGCTGGATTGTTAATGCTTTGTTAATCCTAAAATAAGACCTGCTGAATAATACATGTGTACAATTACAATATGCAGGTGTAAATTGAATTAAGGACTTTAAACTGCAAATGGTTACAGTATCTAAGACGTTCTCTCTGTGTGTGTGTGTGTGTGTGTGTGTGTGTGTGTGTGTGTGCTCTTCACTCATCAAGATCCCATGTGTGATTTAAGTGTTCCCTTAATTCTTTTGAGCAGCATATGTGTGGTTTTAATGTGGCAACCAACCTACTGACATGAAGTACGTGCATCAAGCAGGTAGAGAACCGAGTCGCTTGTGGCCAAATGAGTGAAGGACTTCTGTTGTTTTCTTTTAATCCTGACACACCTTTACATTTATGCCACTACGATGTGTGACAAGAAATTAGAATCCACACAGAGCTGTTTGACTATGTGATTGTTCAAGTCGCAAAATAAAGGAGGAAAAACTGCTGAATGTAAATTTGCTTGCGGTTTTTCTTAGTTAATTTTTTGCTTAATGTGTCATTCCAAGACAATGATCTAAAACTAGATCAGCCTTGCCTTTTAGATAAGACCAACTGAAAAATGCATTCACCTAGGAACAAGCTAGACAAAGGTTTGTACAGTATTACGCAATAATAACAGGTACACTTGTACAGTATTACGCAATAATAACAGGTACACTTGTACAGTATTACGCAATAATAACAGGTACACATTTGCTTTAAATAAATATTAATATACAAAAGGTACACAAGACAAAGCCAAACAATGGTTTAAAAATAGTCTCTCAAGTATTTGGGGGGGGGGAAATAATTGACAATGGCCACATTTGGCCAATATCTTTGTTGTTTTATCTTGTACTCTTGTTTGCACACTGATTTGTCTTAATCAGTATTTGAAAGGTTTCCAAGTGCCTTCTGTTTCAGCAGAAATACGTATATCACATAGTATATGAAAATATTTACGCAAATTAAAGTGTATAAATGTACTTTGTATTAGGTTTTAGAAAACTAAATTTTAATAAACTGACAACAGATGTGATTGTATGTCAGGGCTGTTGCAACATGTTAAGGATGTCATCAGAATGACAGTGACTGCCAATAAACAAATGAATAATTGAATAATGAGGAATGTTTTTTTTATTTGGTTACACCTTAAGACTTGTTTGCAGTAATAATGGAACAAAACTACACCTGACACATTAATCACTCGGTGTCCTCAGGCACTAAATCCCTTTTAAGTGTAACAACGCACCATGGCAAACGCTTCACTGTCCCAACTTTTTTGGATTGTGTTGCAGCATCAAAATTGAAGTGAGTGTTTATTTTGAACAAAGAATAAAATTGATCAGGTATCACATGAAATAATGAGCTGCTGTATTATTTTCAATGTAATGCAGGGCTCAGATGACAGATGATGATTACAAATCACTATTTTGAGTTTTAATTTTGATTTTACATACCATCCCAGCTTTTTTCAAATGTGCCACCTCTCCCTGAGTCTGTGTCCATGCCTGGCTGCTGTGTTCAAAGTTAGTCAGACCTGCCCCTCCTCCCCACCTCTTCAAGTCTCTCTGTTTGTGTATATGTCATTCTCTCTGTCTCTCCTCTCTCTCACATTCACTAGGGAAAAGTTACAGTCTTATCTCTTATTCCTCTGACAAGTCTAGGAGAATTAATGACAAGCTGTTAATGGTTGGTTTAGGATAAATTCATCCTGCTTTGCTACTTGAAGAGCCTGGGATTCACAGCTGAAGTGAAACATATAAGATAAAGAAAAATAAAATAATGAAGAATTCAGGACATAAGGAAGAAGAGCTCACCACAGTAATGGGGGATCCAGAAACTGGCTCACATGTAAATGGGTCGAAAAGGTGAGGACTTTAAATCGTTTCACCTTCTATTCTGAAAAGATTTGGTCTATCTGTGTTTGTTCTTTTCAGCTGAACAAGCTGTATGTATTTTTTAACTAATCCTTTCATTATCATTGTTGATATCAATGAGACTCCCAGTCTAAACAAATTATACATTATAAGCATACAAGGTAAGTAATGTTGGCCCCACCTACAAAACCTACAACATTAAGTGTGATGTAAACATTAATGCATAAATAATTCTAATCCATTAATAATATATACATTTATAAGAAATATAAATAGCGTGTAGGAGTGAGCGTGAACGTGTGTTTGTCTGTCTCTAATTGTTAGCCCTGTAATAGACTGGACTTTTACTTGTAACACAGTATTTTTATACTGTAGTATTGCTTATTCTACCCACGTAAACAATATGAATACTTTTTCTAGCACTGGTAATTAGATGACAGGCGCTATTGTTTCTGTTCCATATAACTAAACTATTTCAAAAGGTGTGTCTTTTACCCACAGAAATTTGCATACTGACACATCCACCCTTACACCTGTTACATCCTATTATTGGTTGGGCTGCTATACCTGTATCATGACATTTTGATTACATACTGTAATTATGCTATTATTCTAAACTTCTCTTAACTTTTGTCTTTCTTGCTTTTAGACAACTTGTCAAGAGCTTAAATCGCCAGAAGAAGCCTTTGTTTCAATCCTGGTTCCAGTTGCTGCTCCTTCTTTGTCTAGTGCTCTTCGTCTTGTGTTACACTCTGTCCAGCAGCTATGTGCCACGGTGGGACTTCCCTGAGCAGTTCAAGAGGTTTTTATATCAGATACATCAGGTTCATCTGACCACACAACCATCAACTGTACCATCAACTGTACCATCTACTGTAGCACCTACAGGTATACATTACCACCAAGCCTACCCACACAATTACCATTTTATTATGGATAACACAGAGGTGTGCAAGACCAAGAACCCTTTCCTGGTCCTGATGGTCCCAGTTGCTCCAAATGATGTGGCAGCTCGAGATGCCATCCGGCAAACATGGGCTAATAACAGCCTGGTTCAGGGCAAGGTGGTGCTTACTCTGTTCATGCTGGGCCTCTCTAATCGAGATAATGCTGAGCAGCTGCAGGAGAAGCTCAAACAGGAGAATCTGCAGCACAGTGACCTGATCCAGAGTGATTTTATGGACTCTTACCTCAATTTGACAATAAAAACCATGGTGATCATGGACTGGCTGGCCACCCACTGCACTACAGCAGCATACGCCATGAAGATTGACTCAGACATGTTCCTGAACATTGACAACCTGGTAACTATGCTGCAGAAGCCAGATATCCCCAAGCAGAACTACCTGACAGGGATGCTTATGTGGAACAGGCCAGTCGTACGTTCAAAGAACTCTAAGTGGTATGTCCCTGAGGAGATGTACCCAGACCCCATATACCCGACCTACACTCTGGGCATGGGATACGTCTTCTCCAATGATCTTCCAGCAGAATTTGTGGCGATATCAAAATTAATAAAGCCTTTTAACATAGAGGACGCTTATATTGGAATATGTATGAAGAAACTAGGACTGGCACCCACGTCACCACCAGATCCCTCTCAGTTCAGGGCCTATAACACAGGATATAATCGCTGTGAATACTCCAAAACCATCACCTACATTCTTGGGTCTGCACAACAGTTGGTGCAATACTGGACAGACCTGAAGAAACCTGGACCCTCTTGTTAGGACAGTGACTGTTACAGATGCACTAAGAAATCAGTGTGTGGAAGGGACTGGGTGGTGGGGGATTGGGAGGTTAACTTATTTAGGAGTTTGAGTTTCTACGTTACTGGTATATATGTATCATACGTCCTGTTTTTTCAGAAATTAGAATTAGGATTAGTAATTTTTTAGTTTACTGTATTTAAAACATCTTATGACAAAGAAAGTTACAAACGCAATGTTTATTTGTCCTAACATGTGAAATTGAAATGCAAGTGAGTAAAATGTGAGGTTAACTTATTTAGGACTTCCTGTGGTACTGGCTGAGGTGGGGGACTCACGTCACATGACTTGACCTGAGTTAGACTTGAGTCACAAATTTGAAGACTTGAGACTTGGTTGACTAACACTAGTAAAAGAGTCCATTTGACTTTGATTTGGTATTAAAGTTGCAACAGTATGAGATTTTCATGGTATGATAACAGTCTCCGAAAACATCTTGGTTTCACAGTATTACAAAATTACTATCATTATCAGCTACAGTGACCCTCACAGGAATGAAAACAGAGGGTGTTTTTTTATTGCAAGTGACTCTGACAGTTGATTGAGCTGGACTACAGCAGATTGACCCTAAAGAACAGACAGAATTATAAACATGTTTTAAAAAATATGTAACTACTCTGATATAAGTAAAAGTATCAGAAAAATGTACTTAAAGTATTAAAAATAGAAGTAAGCTACTCAATGCAGAAAAATGTTATATTATATATACTATAGTGCTATACAATTATATAATAGCATTAAATTAATAGCCTATCACTCATGCATTGTGATGTAAAAGCAGGATTTTGCTGTTGTAATTGGTTGAAGTGGAGCTCTGAAGTATTTTGTATCAAAATGCAACTATTGATTATTTTCATTACAGATTGATGCTACATAAAAACTGACTTGACCTCTAGAGCTTTATAATTTATTTTTTGCTTCCACAGGTTTTGTTGTTGTGGGTCTGTTTAAGGCCAACCTGACTGTGAACACAAGGCCAATGGGTCATGTGATGTGTGTTACGTCTAGTAGCAGTTACATCCATTACTTGCATATCATCTCCAGGGACGGTGCACTTGCAACATTAGATCAAAGTTTACTTAATGCAAGTCTGTTGTATAGATTTAGGACATACATCCACGGGGGCAATGCCATGAATAAACTATCATATAGCAAATGTGTTCAGAGAAGGCTTGTGAATTTGCTAGAATTTAATGGATAAACACAGAAGCTGTGAAAGGATGATGGCCTTCACAGTAGGGGGCTTAGTCATGAAATTTTGTAAAGGACAATTTTCTTTTTTTGATTTGTCATGAAACCATGGATGTCAACCTAGCTTTGATCCTGAAGGAGTCAGCATGACTTGCATTTGCCATGTGAGATCATTTTGACCAATGAAATAATAGTATATTGCTAAGTAGGTCGGAGAGAAAGGTGGGATGAAGCAAACTACGGTGCAAGGAGGAGCTTAGAGAGTATAAAAGGGATGTCTTCCATGAACTGGAAACAGATGCTCTTGCGGTGTTATTAATCCCCCCCCAATAAATCTTATACTTTGCAACAGACTGCTTAGCCTTCGAGTGTTTTTTGACAGATAAAGAACTGTGTGGGTGAGAACTAGACCCTCACTGGCCCTGAGAAAAGTTATCCCAAAGAGTAGTTTATAACTTATGAATGTAAAATTAATAATGAGAGGAGGTTCGTGAACAGTTTCCATTTTGTGTGACCAACTGCAGCCCAGCAAAGAAACACAAAGAGGGAACTGATACAACAATGTTAACTTTGGAAAATATTTTACTTATTTGTCTAACATCTTACTAAATAAAATAAATTTTGCACAGAATGATAAGCCTTTACAGCCTTTGCAGAAAGATAAAGTATTAGTTACTGACCAATAACTTCTTCAGGGGGGTTACAGTACAGAAGGCTAGATCAGGAAAACAATCAGAATTCTAGTAGTTAAAATTTGTTAGCAATTGGGCTGTTTATAAGAATGACAATTTTAGTTTCACATACCACCCTGCTAGTTCTGTACATACACCTACCTACAGTACTTGGCTGCAATTCGATAAAATGGCTATTGGACTCAAAATTTGTGGATGCCCTTGCTGTTTCCTACATGCTTAAAGTACCAATGGCATGCTTGTCTCCAGACATTTAATGTTTAATCTTGGGTACATCTAGATTAGCTTGGTACCCATCCATCCATCCATTTTCCAAACCGCTTAGTCCCAAATGGGGTCACGGGGGGCTGGAGCCAATCCCATCCAGCTGCGGGCAAAAGGCGGGGTACACCCCTGGACAGGTCGCCAGCCCATCGCAGAGCTTGGTACCCCTCATGGCTAAAAATAGTAACTTTTAATAATAATAATAACTTTTTCAGAATAATAAAACCAAAATGCCTCTTTCTAAAAACGAGAGGATAGTTCATGAATGCACACAACTCCTGACTGACTGCCATGTTAGAAATGAAAGGCCAAAAACAAAGCTTTTTTATAGGAGGGTGATGAACGAACATGCTGTAAGGAGGCTAAAAGAGGACTTTATGGGGCAAGACTGGGATGCAGTTTACAAAGAGGAAGACTTAGACAAAGCATATGAGCAATTTTTAAATATATTCATGAAAGTATATGACAGGAACTGTCCTCGTAAGCAGTATAAAAACAAGAGGAATTACAGTGGGAAACCGTGGATGAGTAAGGGATTACAGA